TCCCCATTTTTCCAGCCGATTCCTTACTCAGGCAAATCCTTAAATTCCACACAAAGAATTGGGGGTGCCAGGGGTACAATTTTCCTTGGTCCAGGAGAGGCAGGAACAAGCCCTGGCTTTGTGCCCAGCGCTCACAACAGCTCACCTGGGACCTGCCTGCAGCTCCAGGATGCAGAATTTGATGTTAATCAGCAATTAGATAACGAGCAGACGCCGCTCCTGGGAATGAGAAACTCCCTTCTGCAGTCACAGGAAACCGGAGGAATAAAACTCCCCACTTTGACATCTTCGGGGAGAAGAGATTTTGTATTTGATAATATAAAAAATCTTGGAGAAAGTGGGTTTTGCCTTTCACATTCTTCCTTGTGGATTTCATAGGGTTACAAGCACCAGTGTGGGTGTGCCCAGATCATCTGTCCTGTGTCATTTCTGTGCCACCAGCAGCCAAAAAAAATGAAAGCCCTCCAATTCTCCGCATGCCTTTAAGGCTGAGCACAAGGGGAAGGTAAAAGGTGAAAGGCAGAGCAAAAAAACCCCAGTTTTGGTTTTTTTACAGCTTTTGGTGAAACAATGCTGTCTTTGCTCACTTTCTGTTTCATTTTCCCCCTTTGACATGTAGTTTCTGAATATTCCAGCCCTTTTGTTTACTTTATCTGGGCGTTTTATGGCTCTCACCCTGCTCTTAGTCCTCTGGAGTTTCCTATCCAAGGTCAGCTTGTTCTTTCTCTACTTTTGAATGAGCACAGGCACTCAGCAAATGCCTTTGCTTTTACCTTTTGCTCTGCTGGTTCTTCTGGTTCTTCCACACATCCCCATTCCTATTTTTTTACACCAAGTTTAACATTTCCACTACAAACCTCCATAAGTCTATCACCTTGCCTACAGCTTCAGCATATTTTTGTGCTGCCTCCTTGGAGCCTGGTGAATTCCTTGCCCACAGAAAAGTGCATTTTTTTGGGTGGAAGGAGCAAAGGAAAGGACTGAAAAGCCTCTTCCCACCCCAAAAAACCTGGAGATGAGGTCCCTTTTGTGGGAGAGAATGTGCCCAGGAAATTTTGCGGGTGGTCTAGAACCTCTGATGGCACAAAAAAAAAGGGCGAGGATTGGGAAAAAAAGCTGTAAAATGAGTCCAGAGTTCACCCAGGAGATGGAATTAGGCCTGGAGACAAGGATAGGCATAATATAATTAAGGATTAGTGTTGGAGAAGAGAATTATGAAGTACCCTGGGTTGGAAGAGCAAAAGGATCAGCAATTCCAACCCTAAAAGTCACAACCTGAGGCCAGAAACTGATGGAGACAAACACAACACAGGGCCAAGGTCATCCAGGACATGGCTGGAGACAGAGACACTGACAGGGCCTAAAGGGTTAAACTTGAGCTTAAAGGGGGTTCCTGGAGCCATGGGCACAGTCTGAGGAGGGCCCTGCTGAGACTGCTCACGGAAATTAAAGTTTTTTGCCTGAGAAACAAGATCTTAAAAAGTCACAGTTGTTTTCCTGTCAAAAGCCTAAAACAAGCACGGCTGAGGGTGACTCACACAGACTTAGGAAGGAGGAAGTGTGAGAATTCCAGCACCAGCTGAGCCTCACCAGCCAGCAATCCACTTTCACCTCAGGATCGAGGAGAAAAGGGAAAAGGAAACTTGCATGTCAGCCAGAAGCGAAAGTTCATCCACCTGACAGCCAGATTCTGCTGCAGGTTGTGGTTGGAGGAGGCAGATGAAGGTTTTATTCCTTTATTTATAAAAATATAATGAATGGTGTGGCCTAAAGATCCGTTTGGGCACCTTTATTGCAGGAATTTTCAGGAATCTCAGAGGCTACCTGAGAGAAATCTCAATTTTTCCCCACAGGATGCAGCAGAGGTGCGGTAGAGGACAGTGACCTGTTGGGCACCACAGACAGCAAATAATTACCTGGAGCTTGGTTTGCCCATGGAAAAATCTGTGTCTGGAGAACCCTTGGGTGCTCCCAATATGATCCTGAGGGTCTCCTGGACAACTTTGATCCAGAGAGATCAGGAGGGACTTCAGGAGGGGAAACATCCAGGGTGGGATGAAGAAAAAGGGCTGGGATATGGAGTTGGGCCTCTCATCCAGCAGGATGGTGGGAGCAGGAATTCCAGGGATTCCACGGATGGAATTCCAGCTCTAGCATTCCATGGAGCGTTGAGGGCTGTGCCAGCACCTGGAAAAGCACTTTGTTGCAGGAAAGTGCCGTGGACAAAGAGAATTTTGGGGATGAGAGGAAGCAGCAAGGATCCTCTCCACGTTTTAGCAGGTGAGAGCAATTCCAACCCCCTCTGGAAGAAACCTGAACAATTCCCAACTCCAGAGCATGATGCAATTACTGGGTAAAAAAAAAAAAAAAGGTCTCTGTCTCCTTCATGTGTCATTGGAGGAGAGCTGTTTGAGCAGTTCTGCTCCACTGGCAGGGGAAACGTCTCATTTGCAAATTCCTCTGGGGTTTTGGTGCCTCAAGTGCACAGCCAGGCCCAGGAAGTCTCACACAAACCCTGAAACAGAAGCGTGGTGGGGAAAGAACCTCTCTGTGTCCCACCTGAAGCTGAGCAAGCTTTCACTGACCCTCAGTTACAAACTTTAACTCGTCTAGTTCAACATCAAACCCTTGCGGGCCTAGTTAGTCTAGGTTTAATTTCTGCACCATCTCTGCTTCCCCAGTCCATCAAGGATCCTGTCACACTCATAATTTCCTGATTTTAACTGTACCCTGCATGCCACAGCCATGAAGTATTTACCCCAACACCAGTTTGTCCTCTGATCCAGCCACCTCCTTATCTCCTTCTCCCTCAAGTGTGTTTTTATAGCTGTCTCCACCTTTTCCCAGCACGTGTCACATTCCTGGGGCTGGACTCTACCCCAATGCCTCTCTTGCTTCACCCTTTTTGTGAAGAAATATTTTTTGGCCTTGCACTCACAGTAGTAAGCCAATGGTTAAATAAAGTCCTCCAGTGACCTCCAAACTTGCAAGAAGAGGCTGGAGCACTCGGGGCAGTGTTTTGTGGGCTGGACTAGAACAGAAATCTCTGCCAGCAGAGTTGCTGAGTTGAGTCTGTCCCACACAACAACCTTGGGGGCAGGTGGGAGATGATCTTAGACCAGAGAATATAAAATATTCTCAGTTGGAAGGGACCCAAAAGGATCATGAGGTTCTCAGAAGGGCTTCCTTCCTCACCTGGTGTAATCCCCACCACAGAAAACTGGTCCTTGGTGGCTCTGGTCACCTCTTCCTTTTGCAGCATCCTGTCATTAGTGCTGTCCCCACCCAGCCATTCCATCAGTATCGGGATGACTCCAGATCCGGTGCTGGGTGGTGACCTCTGTGACTCTTAGATCCTTCCCTCTTCCTTCTTATCAGCAGACAGACCCTCTCCAGGAAAAAAAAAATGGGGCTGATAATATTAAATTTAAGTGTTGGAGAAATCCTGGAAGCTGTAGATCCTGAGGATGAGGAGAGTGTAACATAAAAATCCTAAATCTGGGTTGGAGAAGATCTTAAAGATCACTCAGTTCCAGCTTCCTGCCATGGACAGGAACACCTTCCACTATTCCAGGTTGCTCCAAGCACCATCCAACCTGGCCTTGGACACTTCCAGGGATGGGGCAGCCACAGCTTCCCTGGGAAACCTGTGCTAGGACCTCACCACCCTCACAGGGAAGAATTCCTTCCCAACATCCAACCAAAATCTACTTCCTCAGCCAGTATAAAACAGAGGTTTTGTAAATGTGTCTGAATTATGTTTTTTCAAGTTACCACAAAGCTGAATTTCCCATTTTTTCAGTATTTGGGTTGTGCCAGCAGCCTGTTTCAGAGGAAGATATGAGACCACAGAAACTGCTCGGAAGTCAGTTCCTGCTAGAATATCTGGCAGTGACAAATAAAACTAAGCCACGGGAAAGAAAAGGGAAGCAGGGGTTTGCAGGCATGGGTTTGCTTCCCAAGCAGAGTGCTCTGAATGCCTCCGACAAGACAGGAGCCGGAATTTCTCCTGACAGATGCATTCGCCAAGAAATGCTGACTCTGCAGAATTAAACCCATCTGTGGCACAGAGTTTGTCAAGCCTGCTTGTTTCCTGCTGGCTCACCAGCCTTATCCTCCATTGCCAGGCTTTCCTTACAGCCAGTTTCACAGGGGCCCTCCCCCACTGCCCCTCCTGCAGCTCATTTCCTAGAGGATTTAGTTATTTCCATGGGACCAACTGAATTTGGTTCACTCCAACATCAGGGGACTTATTTACAGTTTGAAGACTCTTCCTGCCAAGCAGCCCAGGCTGTCCCATGCCACCCCCCAGCTGCTGGGCCCTTCAAGCTTCTCAATCCTGTATGTCTAATCCAATTTAGGCTCTGGTTAACAGATGGGGGAGTTGGTTCTTTATGTGCTTGGATCGTGAGCGGGGGCTGTGCGTGCAGAGGGGTCAGATCTGAAGAGGGGGTGTTGAATGCAGTGACAGCTTCTGTATCCGGGGGAGTCTCGCCTGCAGGAGATCCAGGCAGGGAGCCCTGATTACAGGGAATGTGTGAGGACGGGGTGGTTTGGAATGCGTGGAGGACGATGTGTGTGCGCTGCTCAGGGGATCTGTGAGAGGAGATGCACGGAGGAGGGAAGGGAGGCAGGAAATCAGCAGGTCCTGTGGGTAGAGCGAGTCAGAGAATCACGGAATCCCAGAATAAGCTGAGTTGGAAGGATTTGACTTGTATGAGTGGGGTCGAGCACAGACGCAGCACCCTACTCCCGTCTCCTCCTTCAGAGAAACACAGGGGACCCGAAAAGGGGCTGGAAAAAGCCTCTTGGGGCACGGCTAGGGGAAAGCTGGCTCTGCTCCCCCTTGGCCAGCCGCTGCCATGCCGACACGCACTTCCCAGCGCCCCTTTCCCGGCCCCGGTTCTCCCTAGCGGGGAAACGAAACAAGGCGTGGCCGGGGAGGCGGAGGGGGGAGGCGGCGCGGGGGCCGGGCCCGGCCCGCGGGGCGGAGCCGCCGCCCTTTCCCCACCCCCGGCGCCCGGCCCTGCCGCCAGCCCTGCGCTCCTCCAGCCGCCCTGCGCATCTCTCCGGCCACATCGTCCGCACCATGAAGGCGCTCCTGCTCGCTGTGCTGGCCGCGGTGCTGTGCGTGGAGAGAGGTAGGAGAAGGGGATGCTCCCACCACCATCGCCTGCCCTGCAGGTCCCCCGGTCCCTCGCCAGCCCTGCGTTAGAGAACAAATTGGGGGTTGGGGGAGCGATGCGTGTGGGAGGGTAGCTGTGGAAGTTGGAGGTTTTTTGGAGATATAAGGGTTGAAAAGGGGTCGGGGCCACGGCGCTGAGCCGCGTTATGGTTCGGAGCGAGATGCGGGGGTGTCTTCCCAAGATGTGCCTCGCAGCAATGTCCCTCCTGGAGCAGGAACTTCAGGGCTGCCCCGCCTGTATGAATAGGTGAGCATCTCCGGCTGTGCGGGTGGATATGCTGGAGCTTTTCCCAGTTGCAGCTCGAACAAAGCAGGGCCGGCTCCGCTCCCCTTTTTCGGCGCAGCCAGCCGGGATAACCGCGCTGGGATGGGCTGAGATGCAGCCGAGGGGAAGGAAGGGGGGTGGAGGGGAGAGGCAGCCCAGCCCCGGCAATGGCTGATGGAGCAAAGTCAGGGCAGAGCCACTCGTGATTGTGGCTCCTGCTGCCCGCTCCGAGCATCCTTCGGGGCGCTGTGACCCCTAAGGGGACAATGCCCTGTGAGGGGCTGCTGCCGAAACTGGGGAGAACGCGGTTCCTGTTGCTGTGTGTCAAGCTGCCAAGTTGCCCAAGTCGCAGGGCCTGCCATCCCCTCCTTCCCCACGGACTCCATCCCTCACTATTCCAAACTCCTCGGGGCCGTGCGAAACCACGTATTGTTCCCATATGGGAGAAACCAAACAAAGAACCAAACGGGAGAGTTCTGAGCTTTCCCAGCCCCTGCTCAGCAAGCAGGGTCCCTTCTTGTTTTCTGAGGTGAAACTGGCTGTTTGCTGCCCTTTCCAATTCCTCCCTCCCAGTGGGATCCGGGAAGCAACTGCAGATTAAAGCATTGGGTCCCGGCAGAGCCCAGCTGGCTTGGGCTCAGTTCCAGCGGCCAAGGCCAAGGCAGTAAAGGGTTTCATCCCCTCCTCCAAAAAAAAGCGCAACCTCTTCAGCTTTAAAAGTAAGTTTTTATCCAGGCAAAAGGGTTTGCTGCAGGTGGTTTTATCCCCAAACACTTCCAGCATGTCCTGGGGGGATTTCACAGAAAAGCTTTACCTCCTGCTCAAAGATCTTGCCTGTGGATCTTGATAAGGATTTTGCCTAAGAGAATGGAAAAGCGACATCGGGGCTGAATGGGAAAGCTGCCGAAGCCACAGCATTTTCCTCGTGCTGACGAGCTCCAAAGTGGGCTTTTAAAGGCCTTTTTCCCCCTTGTCTTTGCAAGAATGATTCAACCTCTTATCTCTAGGAATTCCCCCAAATGCCCTGTTCTGTTTTGGGAGCCCTTTGTTCCTCCGACTAGCTAAGCAGCAAACAAACAAACACATGAATTCTTCCACTGGTGAAAACAAGGCTTCTCTTTTGCATTGTTCAGTCTTGTGATTTTTTTCCCCCTTTTCTTCTTGTAACCTTGAGCTCCAACTCTTTGCTCCGTCTACAGCTGCATGAAATTATTTCTGCAACCCCTCTTGTGCCTTTTGTCTAAACCACTCAGCCTATTTGTGCTCTCCTAACTCTGCAGTGGGTGTTTTTTTGGGGGCAGAAAGTGGCTGAATATTTCAATATTTCCTTTCTTAAACTCTGCTTCTGCTGGAAGGATTTTTTTTTTTTTCTGTTAAGACAAGGGGTAATGGGTGGGTGTGACAATGAAAAGCACGGGGACAGGTAGGACATGCAGTGGCAGGAGCAGGGATTGAGTCACATGGCAGAGAATTTCATGCCCAACAGCACTTTTATGTCATGTCCAAAGATTTCTGGTGCGTTTGCTCCTGGAACCTTAAATGAGCAGCATTGCACCACTCGGTGCCTTCAGTGCAGTGAGCAAACACACATGGGGACATCTGTCCTGTGCAGGAAGCCTGTAATCCCCTTCATTCCTGATTGCTGAAGATTCCTGGGATGAGTCAATCCACCTCCTCGGGGTGGTTGTGAGGTAAAAGAGTTTGGGACAGGTCACCTGGAGACTTGGGAGCAGACCTGGGCTCCACTGCGAGGTCCCACATGGAGCTGTGGCCGGCCCGGCAAGGGGCAGTGACTCAGTGGCTGGTCCCATCCTCCTCCTCCTCCCCATCTCCTAAACGCAGAGATCCACTGAGGAATCTCTCCTGGAGGTGTTGACTCAGCTGGTGGCCCTGTAATCCGGGTGCTGTGGGTTGTGGTGGCTGCCTTGGCGTGCTCAGGTAACCCGGGTTTGTTGTGGGGGTTGTTTCCAGAGTGAGGATCCAGGAAATTCCTGCTTGGGGGTTTTTGTGGTCTTGGCTTCCATTCCAAAGCAGAGATTTGGCTGCTCTGCTGTGACATTCAGGCTCTCCCACTAACCCACTTTAATCTGTTTCCCTGAGATTATATTTTGTTTTCTTTCCCCTCCTCGGCTGTGGCTGCTCAAAAGTCATTCCTCCGAGAGCAATTGTTATTTTTTTTCTCATTTTTTTCCTGTAGAAGCCTTTTATTTTCCTGAGAGAAGCAGGAATGAGAAGAACAGTCCTGTGGCAGAGTGGGGCAGATGCTGAGCAATATTTTTCCAAATAATAATTCTTCAAAATATCCATGTCAGTAACTGCTGTGCCTCAGAGAGCTTTTCCAGGGCTTCAGTTCCTTAGGAAAATATTCCAAGGGGGTCCACAAGAAAGCTGGAGAGGGATAGGACAAGCAGGAATGGGTTCGAACTGAAAGAGAGTAGGATTAGTTTGGGTATTGGGAAGGAATTCTTCCCTGTGAGGGTGGTGAGGCCCTGGCACAGGTTTCCCAGAGAAGCTGTGGCTTCCCCATCCCTGGAAGTGTTCAAGGCCAGGTTGGATGGGGCTTGGAGCAACCTGGAATAGTGGGAGGTGTCCCTGTCCATGGCAGTGGGATGGAACTGGATGATCCTGAAGCTGCCTTCCAACCCAAACCATCCTGTGATTTTTGATAATCCATTTGTGGTGGGGCTGAAGGAGCAGGGACGAGGCTGCCTCACACTTCCCACCCTCAATCAGCCCCTGCTCTGTTTTGCATTCCATAAATACAGAAAGAGAAAGGCAGTGCCTCGTGGAAAGGCTGCCTGGGAGCTCCAAAATCCCGAGTCCATGGAAGATTGGGAGCAGACCTGATCTGTCTGCATATGTAGGTCAACAACTGCAGCGTGGATGTGATGCTCTTGTGTGTAAAATACAGAGATCAAAGTGCCCGTGGCCTTGCTGAGTCTCTGGTCCAGGCTGCCTCCACAACCATTTCCCACCCCAAATGCTGTTTTCCAATCATTCCTCTTTGTGAGGGATGAGGGATGGGAGCCAGCTAATCCATCCTGCTGCTGTAGGATAAGCCTTAAATGGCCTCAAGTTGCTCCGGGGGAGGTTTAGTTTGGAAAGGAGGAGAAAATTTCTTCACTGGTCAAATTTTGGAACAGTAGTGGAACCACCATCCCTGGAAGTGTTGAAAAAATTGTGCAGCTGTGTTGCCTAAAGACTTGGTTTAGTGATGGGTTAATGGCTGGATTCAAAGATCTTAGAGGTCTTTTCCTGAAATGATTCCACAATTCTGTAATTTTAGGGGACCTGCTGGTCTTGCAGGTCTAGAGCTGGAAAATCATTTCTACCTCATGCTGCAGCTCAAGCATGGCCTGATCTTGGTGTCCAAAGCCGGGTCATGGAAAGTTTGAACCTATGGTCACACCTGGAGCATTTCCCATCAGTGTCACAGCATCATAAAATCAGAATGGTTTCGCTTGGAAGGGACTTAAGATCATTCAGTTCCAACCCCCTTGCCCTAGGCAGGGACATCACGTCTATGGTAGCTGAGCTGAATGATCCCAAACCTCAAAAATTTCTCCTCTGGAGTTTGGTTTAAAGTTGGCAGCTGTAGCTTGGGCACATTCTTGGTGCAAACAGGGTGGTGACAGAAAGTACCAGGCTGTGGTTGTATCAGCTTTAGCAGATAAGAGCTTTAAATGCCTCCCTGAGGCTTGAACACTTTGCTTGGCCAATTTTTTGGGGGAAAAAAAAAAAAAAAATCCTCTGTTGCAGGTTGATAAAAGTGAAACCAAAAATGTGGCTGTGGGCAGATGCGAGACATGCCGTGGGACAGAGGTGGGGACCTCCAAGTGAGGACATCTTCCCACCAGCTCCTAAATGAGGTTTGCCTTTCTCTCGCAGCCCACACGCTCGTCTGCTTTTCCTGCTCGGATGCCTCCTCCAACTGGGCCTGCCTGACGCCTGTCCAGTGTGGAGAGAATGAAAACCACTGCGTGACGACGTACGTCGGAGTGGGACTCGGTGAGTGCTGACAGCACCTCCTCCTGCCCTCCTGCCTTCTCTCCTGGGTCACCTGCTGAGCTGCAGCGAGGCCTTGCCTTCTTCTGGCTGGGTTGGGGGGGAAAAAACAAAAAAAAAGAAAAAAAAAGGGAAAGTTCTGCTTAGCAACTGAGTGTGTCGGACCATCCCACGGGGATTGTGAGGAGGGACGCGCTGCCAGGAGGAGTCACGTTAAAGCCCACGTGCCTGCACCGATGCCCGCCAGTCCGGGGGGAATTTCAGGCTGCTGGGGGCGGGGAGTTTGCTGATGAATAAGTGAAAGCGTGGAGGATGCTGCAGGCTCCCTGTGTGGGAAGCTCCAGGGTTGCTGTTCCTGCTGATTCTTTTGCCTCCTGTTTGGGTTCTTTGTCCCCGAGTCCCACCTTTGCTTCACTTTCTGTGGACGAGGCGGGAAGGGAGGGTTGTGGGTTTCCTTCCTGTGTGCCTGGAGAGATTTGGGGGGGGTTCTGTCCTTCCCAGCTGCTGTGCTGAGGGAGGCAGGATGCTCTGGTGGATCTCCTGGAACCTTTGCAGGAATCCGAGCCCATCCTGGCTCTCCCTGGCAGGAGTGGGGGAATTTCATGCCCAAGTCTGCAGCGTGGTTGGGTCAGATGTGCACAAACAGAGACTGGGAGCTTCTATAAACTTCCCTTCGTAGCCCACTGCTAATGGTTTCCTCTTTCCTCTTAACATGGGCTGTGCCTCTCTGTAAAATGCAGCCTTGGCTCCCAAGTGCCTCCCCAGTGCTCCCTGTCTCCCTTGAGGAGCCCCAGAGTGAAGCTCAAGAGGGATTTTTGGGATTCCTCACGGGAGCTATTGTTGCTGAACATTGACCAATCCAAAGGGGTGTCTCTGGGGTGTTGTGTGTTCTCTGGTGTGTTTGTGTGAGCTTATCACGGGCGATCCTTGATAAGATGGGTTGGCTGGGATTCCTGTCTCTGAGAATCACTTCATCCCCTCCAGAGCACTTCATCCGCCCTGTGCCACCTGCACCACCCTGAAATTCCTTTGCAGAGCAGGTGAACAGAAAAAAAAAAAACCCACATTCTAAACCTACCTCTTTTCCTTCCTCTCCCCCCCACCCCATATCCAGGCGGCAAATCCGGCCAGTCCATCTCCAAGGGATGCTCTCCCATCTGCCCCAGCGCCGGCATCAACCTGGGGATTGCGGCCGCCTCCGTTTACTGCTGCGACTCCTTCCTCTGCAACATCAGCGGTTCCAGCAGCGTCCGAGCCAGCTCCTCCATCCTGGCCTTGGGAATCCTCATCAGCTTCATCTACGTCCTCTGGGCTCGCCAGTGATGGGGCTGCCTGAGGAAGGGCCGCCTCCCACGGGTCTCGTTAGCCAATATCTTCTCTGTTGCTGTCTGCAAGGAGATCCTCTACTTCTCAGCAGGCTTCCAAGGTGATTGTTTCCCAGACTTTTTTTGCTCTTCCAAGCGAGTTGGAGGACCTGGGTGGTTTGGCTGAGCTTGTTCTCCTCCTCCTGTGGACGTCTCCCGCTGCACTCTCGCTCCTCCTTCGCCGAGGTGGATGATTTTTGGAAGGGTTTCTGCTTTTTCTACCTATTAATAATCCCCCCCTCCCACCTCCCCTAATTTCTAAAGTTGGTTAAACCAGGCTGGGACTCGCTGAGAACAGATTCACCCCAAGCACCACCAGGTCTGCTCCAGCACATGGGTGGCAGAGGCAGAGGGAATGCAGGATCCAAAGGGAGACACATTCCTGGCCCCTCGCAGCTGCAGTCTCTTTTTATAAAATAGTCTCGTTTCTTCTGATCCTGGGCTGACTTTTCTGGAAAACCAATGCCGTGTACCTTGTCCTTCCAAGTTCTGTAAGTGCCAGACCTGAATAAACTTGCTCCTGTTGTTACCTGAGATGGGACGTGTGTGTGTTTCCTTGCTCCAGGGATTAGGAACTCTTTCATGGAAAATCCCAATGTTGGTGCCCAGCATGAGGGTCCCTCACCCTCTCGAGCAGCTTTTGGGTGCTTCATCTCCACATCCTTCCCAGTTGTGAGCAGCAAATCCATCTCCTCCCTGTTGCTGTCCTTCCTGATAAAAACCTCTGGGCCAGCTTGTTCCACCTCCCTTGGGAGTGACTTCTTCCAGATGCATTTTACTGATAAATTTCAAGTTTTGTGGTCTGAGTCAACTCTAACGGAGCAATGACCCTGGCAGGAGGATACTATGAATTGAATCTGCATTTTACCAAGACTTGGTGCCTCAGTTTCCCCACTTTGGACTTGTCATGGTGACCACCACAATGGCGATACCTGAATGGGCAACAGGTCTGAAAAATGTGGTGGAGTCAGAGGAGAAGATGTCCATACCCAGAATTTTAGGTCCAACCTTCATTGCTTGATGGACTTCTGGAGGTGACTTCACCACCCAGCCTTCCACATCTGCTGTCCCTCAGCTCCCAGGATCTTCCCAGGTGTTTTGGCAAGGTTTTTCCTAGAAGTTCTCAGCTGTCCCATGGGAGATGTGTCCTTCTGCCCTCTCTGTGTCATCTGTCTTGCCTACTCTGCTTGCCTGGGGACCTGCTCACCACAAACCCAAGCCAGAATTCAGCCTTAAACTGTCAAGTTCAAGCTTTGTCACTTCCACTGATTGATCTGAGTTGCACTGGGCTTTTTTTCCTTCTATTTCTAGCAGCAAACCCAGGTGTTGGCACATTTTAGCCATGCCTTGTACCTGCTTCTCCTATTCTGTGTCAAAACCCAAACAAAAGCTCCACAAACTTTCAGTTCCCACCTCTGTCCCCTCTTCAGGTAGTGATAAATGAAAGGTGGTTGCAGAATTGTACAGAAATGTTGGTAACAAAAGTGGTTTTATGTTTTTTCCCCCTCCCTCCCGTCTCCTATTTTAATTAAAGGCACAGAGATGTTAATGACAGCTTTTCCAACAGGAGGGATGGGTCAGTGGGATGTGATCTGCAATTTAGGGGTTAATTTGGGAAGAATGCATCACTTGTGCTGGTCCTTGGATGTGCCTTCCTTTGGATAAAGCATCCTCCTGGGACCTTGGGGCCCGAGGTGCCCCACAAACCTCTGCTATGCACGTGGGGCACAGGGAAAATTGGGGAAAAACTTCCTAAATTGAGATGAATATTCCCCAGCTTCCTCATGCCTCAGCCTTCCTCCCAAATGGGTTCAAAACCTTGTTTTTTGGGTTCATTTGTCCTTCAGCACTCTGCTGTGACACCAGAGCACTCTACATTGAATTTAGGGAGGCTCTGTCTTTTCTGGCCACCTGCAAAAAGGTTTTGGGGTTGGTTTGGGACTCGATTACCTTTAGCAAAGAGCTGAAGTTCAAAGCTATCGACTGTGTCCTGATGTCCATCCGTGCTTTTATGAGGATCCTGACGATGCCACACTGGACAGCCCCATGGGCTGAAGACCTGGTTGTCTCCTCCAAGGGCCCTGGTTGTCTCCTCCACAACCATCTCCTTCCTTTCTTGAAATTCCTTGGCCAGTGCCAAGGATTTGGTAGTGCCAGGCTCATGGGAGGAGCATCCAGAGGCTGCTTATCCCAATAAATAACAAATTACATTCATGGAATTGCCAGGGGAGTGAGCTGAGGGTTGGTTGGATAAATTTCACAAGGAGATTCGTTTTTCTTCCTCGCTCTCTTTTTGTCTCTTCCCCCCCCATGTACTCTAATCTAGAATATGGAAAAAAGAGATATTTTCAGTATTTCCTTTCCTGGCAAAAAAAGACATTTGGATGGATCCGTGTGTGTTTGAGAGAGGGAGGGGGTTGACAGCTTGTCACAGTTGAATCCCAAGCACTTTCTCATCAGTCATGCCAACTCTCACTATTCCTGGTCCTACTCTAGGTTTATTTTTTGCCTCCAAATCCCCAGAATGACAAACCTGGTGAGACTCTCATGTGTTGTAAAACCCAGGCCTAAAAAAGGGCAGGTGAAGTAATTAAAATCATTAATAATAAGGCAATAAGTAGGAAAAGCAATGGGGTTTATGAAGTGTTCAGACTGGTGGGTGGGTTGTTGATCCAAATGCTGTATTTGGAATTTAAAGGCCATGGTGGGACAGCCCTGAAGTGCTTTGGATGTGTTTCTGTGGACTGTGGAAATTAAGAGATCAAAATCTGAGCCAAAAACTCAGATATTCACAATTCTGACAAGACAAGAGGTTATGAGGGGAGGAGGTTTGGCTCCCTAGAAGCATAAAATATCCTGGAAGAGTTTTTACTGAAATTTAAGAACTAAAGTGAAATTCCTGCCCACTTTGGAGCGTGTTCCTGAGAAAATGCTTTCAGTGCTTCCATCCTGGAAAAGGCTGTAATTCACCAGCAGCTGCTGCCACCATCTCCCACCACCCCACCAAGGGCTCGAATTTTTTGTGGATTGTCTAAAAATGCTCAAAATCCATTGTGGCATCAGCGTTTCTCACCCAGGATCTGGGAGTTTGCTGTTTGCCCAAGAAAAGGACTTCAAAACAAAGAACCAAACAGTTCTTCCAGCTGGTTTTGAGAATTATTTTTTTTTTAAAGGGCAAAATTTCTTCTGGAAACCACAAACCTGACGTGACTTCCTTGCTGCAAGAGAACAAATGATTGATTTGTTGCTTGATTATTGCTCCAAGGATGCACTTTGCTGCTCCAAGGATGTCCTGGATTGGTGTTGGTTTGCTCAAGTTGGGGTTTTTTTGAAGGAATTTGTCTCCCAGGGACTTTGTTTGCTGTGAAAAAAGGAGGCTGTGGTCCCACCACCCCTGTGGGAAGCTCTGGTGGGGGTGTCCGTGTGTCCATGGGATGAGTTATAGGATCCGTGCCCTCTGGAAAAAGCAGATGTGGTGCACATCTGGATGCCTGGAGGTTTAGGGCTCTTTCCCTTGCTCTGGTTGGTCTCAGCTGTTTGGGTTGAAGGTGGCTCTGGATCCTTGATCCTGAAGGAGTTATTCCACCCCTCTCTGAGGCTGTGGAACAGGAATGGGAACAGAAACGCCCGGTTTTGCATTTTGGGAATGCCCATGGTGCCCAGGGAAGCGAAGCCTTGGGTTGGTCCTGCCACCTACTGGCTTCTGCCAGACTTGGTGGAGGAACTTTGAAGTCCAAATTTCCGAAATCAAGGCGGATGAGCTGCCCCAAACCAAATAATTGCACCCAAAGCAGAGAGTTGTCATCAGCAGAGACAGATTGAAGGTTTTAATTCATCCAGCTTTTCTCTGATCGTGGAAATTGAGAAATAAAAGGCTTGTGAAGATTCCCAAGTCCAATGTTTTCCGTGGGAGCACTTTTTGCCAGCCCTAATCCTCCAGTTCCATCAAATGAAAATACACGAAGCCAATAAAATGTTGCAGGAAAAATAAAAAAAAAAGTTGGCACGTTTTATTTCAGCTTTGTTGGATGATCCAAGGTGGTTTCCCTGAAATGCTGATTTTACTAATTCCTATCTGTGAGATTTGTAACTGTGTATTATCTTTATTGTAACAGGATAAGCGGGATAAAGAAGCATCCATCCCTTTAAATATATTAACCTAAGTATAAGTGAAGTGTATGTTCCATCTTGTTTCTTATACTCTAATAAAAAATATATGGAATTAATAAAAAAAAAAATACACACTTGGAAGGAGATTTTTGGATGGTTCTGCAGATATTCCAGATATTAACTCTTATTTTGTGTGGAAGGAAATTGCCTGGATTGTATTCCAAGCTCAGAGCTGCAGGTTGTGGGCTGGAAAATAAAAAGGATAGACCAAATTGAGGGACTAAAGGAGGGTTAAATTCCTGCATTTCATCTCAGGGCCATTGGAATCTCTTCCTGGGGATGGATAAAGAGCAGGGATTGTCTTTGCCTTCAATAGCTCATAAATATCCTTGACTTGCCCGTGACCCCGCTGGGAATGGAGATGGGATTTGGCCTTGGAGCCTGCGCTCTTCCTTGTGGGAAAGGGCTGCTATTTTGGGCACAAAAAGGGCCCTGTGTGGGTGTCCGTGGGCAGCTGCTCCTCTTCCTGCCCTCCCAGGGATCCAGCCCTGCTCCCACCACCTCCGGACACACGGATGGACACACGGACAGATGGACACAGGGCTGGGTGCTCTGGAGATTCCCCCCTCCCTGCTCTCCTAACATTCAGCTCTGCAAAGTTACGTCACTCTAATTTTTGTTTAAAGATTTTATGGGATCCCATGGGAGATGGGGATTATATTCCCTGGGGAATGTAAGGCAAATGTGGAATAACAGCGACGGGCTCGGGACTTTTGATCCTTTCCTCAGGATAATTCCAGGCTGGACTTCCATTTCCACTGCAATCTGTATTTTGCAGCCTGATTTGCTAGTGGTTTTTGGGATGGGAGGGCTCCAGTGGTGACAGGGAATATTTTGGGACTGGGGGGACATTGCACAGAAGAAACCTGCATGTCCCTCCTGCCTGTTCCCATTTTTTCCATTTTTCCTGACATTGTCCCCCACGTCCCAGCTCCTGCTGTTCCCTAAGGATCTGCCTGTCTCTGCACAGGCCCAGGATGGGCTTTTCCCTATTTCACCTGTTTGGAAATCGAGGGAAATGGTGTCACATCTCCTATTTGCTCTTTAGATGTTCCTCACTGGCATCCCAAGGTTGTTTTGATCATCCCAGGATGGGAGATCCCAAATGGGGCTGAGGTGGGAGAATTCCGGCCTTCCCATCACAGGAGCCTGGAACGGTTTTTGTTGGAAGGGACCTTCAAGATCATCTCATTCCAACCTCCT